ACAAAACAAAACAAAAAAGCACACGGCAGCCGGGCGCGGTGGCTCACGCCTATAATCCCAGCACTTTGGGAGGCCGAGGCAGGTGGATCACCTGAGGTCAAGAGTTCAAGACCAGCCTGGCCAACATGGTTAAACTCCATCTCTACCAAAAACACAAAAATTACCCAGACGTGGTGGCATGCAGGCTGAGGCAGAAGGATTGCTTGAACCTGGGAGGCAGAGGTTGCAGTAAGCCGAGATTGCACCATTGCACTCCAGCCTGGGCAATAGAGCAAGACTCCACCTCAACAACAATAACAAAAAAAGCACTTGGTCTGTAGTGAGCGCACTATACCTGGTGGCCACCATGAATACTGTTGTTTTTGGTGGCTTGATGTGCCTGCACCCCAATTTTCCACACCCACAAGTCTCCTGCTAGAGGACTAGGTCAGAACCAAAAGGCCCTGCAGAAAATGGAAATCTCTTCCCGATCCCCCTCTAGTCTCCCTTTGGGGGTCCAGTGTGTCCTTGGAGCTGCCCAGGGCAGGGTAGAGGCTGCATCTGTGACCCTGATGGGTTGCCCCAAGCCTGCTGACACTGGCCGTGCCAATCACAAGAAATTCTAAAAATCCACCTCCTTATCTCAGAGCGGGTGACACTCCCGAGCTTCAGGAATGCTGGTGGGGAGCCCCGCCCCCTCCCCCTCCCCCTCCTCCTCCGCTGGGGAAAGGCTGGAAGAGGACTGCTGAATTCTCCAGGCCCCAGCCCCCAAGTATCCCCCTCTAACTCTGGGACCCTCTCAGATCAACACATTCCAGGAGGATCAGGACCTGCAGACTCCAAGTCAGACACCCTCAAGCCCAGAGACGCCTACCTGGGCTCTCAACATCCCCCCCTACACCAGAATCCAAAGAGAATCTCACTACAGAGCCCTAGCATGTCCCTAAGGACTCCACGGACACACCAATGTTATTTCTGAATAATTTCAGGATCCTTTGAGAAGACGGTCCATCTGCTATGGCAGAAAGAATACAAGATCTTGAATCCAGCATGTTGGGTCTTAGCTATGACCCTGAACAAATCCCTTCCTCATTCTGTGCCTCGGTTTCTCCGTCTGTGAAACAGAATTGTTACCCTCTCTTACCTTGCCCTCCCTGTAGAATGGTTGAAAGAACCGAACCAGCTTCCCAATGTAAGGGACACTTTAGAATTTCTACAAGCACCTTCTTTTTCCTTCACGCAAATCACTGCTCCTCGGACTCAGTTTCTTCCCCTGCTAAACGCAAGGAAGATGTACGTGCCTGCCTCACTCCACTTCACAGTGCTGGGAGAGGAGGGAGCAGAATAGACAAGACTCTGCTCATCTGGCACTTTCTCCCTTTAAACTTAGAGGCCAGGGACTGACCAGACCTTGTTCCCAAGGCAGCAAGAAGCAGGCTCCCAGCAAGCATGTGCTGAATGAATACCTGACTGTGGATGGATGGATGATGTTGCTTTAAGAAATTAAAAGGCCAGGTGGGTGGCTCACACCTGTAATCTCAGCACTTTGGGAGGCCAAGGCAGGCAGATCACCTGAGGTCAGGAGTTTGAGACCAGCCTGGCCAACGTGGTGAAACCCTGTCTCTACTAAAAATACAAAAATTAGCCCAGCATGGTGGTGTTTACCTATAATCCCAGCTACTTGGGAGGCTGAGGAGAGTCACTTGAACCCAGAAGACAGAGGTTGTGGTAAGCCGAGGTCACGCCACTGCACTCCAGCCTGGGTGACGGAGCTCACTGAGGAGGCTGGGTGTGGGGGTGGTCACACCAAGAGGGGGCATGGAAGGAAACTTCCAAACTTGAACACTTCTTGTGGTGAGAGAGGAAGTGGCGCTGCAGGAGGGACAAGGGGCTAAGGGGCTGGCAGGAGGGACAAGAGGCCGGGGATGCCCCCCCGCACCCCGCCCGGCCTGGCCTGCGTCATGCCTGGTCTGTCTGGGGAAGGCCAGGACCTAGCCGAGCCTGGCGGCAGGAACAATGTCAGGCAGGTGCCGGCCGAGCTGCGGGAAAGGCCCAGCCCGGTGTCATTGTCAGAGCTCAGCCAAGTGCAGAAAAGCAATTTACTGGTCACGCCGCTTGCTCCCCACGGAAATTTTTAAAATTCTTCCAATTTGAGCTATCTACGGTGTCCCGAGTCGTGTGGAGAAGGGATGAAGGGATTTTATTAAATTCCCAGCTTCCTACTTCCTAGGGTGGCCAGCGGGTGAGGGCGGGGCTCACCACTTCGGGGGTGGGCAGGACGGTGTCTGGCATTGAATGTGCTCATGGAAACGTAGCTGGGGGCAGGGACCCATTCTGAGCCTGGTAGCGATGGACAGGAGGAAAGGAGGGGCCCAGAAACTCCACTGCTGAGACTGGACCAGTCCTGGAAAACACCGAGGTGGGGGAGGGAAGGGTGTAGGCACATCTATTTCCCAGCAGCCACAGTGTGCCTTCCTGGGGGGATGAGAACTGGCAAAACTTCCCCACCCCTATCATATACCAGTTTAACTCCATGACCAGCCATTTCACAAATGATGCAGCGAAGATTCTGGGGATCCACAGAGAGGGAAAGATGGCGCTGGAGCTGGGGTTCAGGCCTAGGCCACTGGATTGCAAAGCCCTGAGCCCTTCCCTCCACGCAGAGAGGCTTCCCTGGGCCCTGCTCACCCTAAAGGAGCTTCAGCTGCTACCCGCTAAGTGCAGCCTACCCAAACCTCAGCAGGGAGCAGGCCTCAGATTCCTGGCAGTTAACATCATGTGGCTCCCACCCCTCATTTCAACCATTAAGGCCACCCGACTTTTGTTCCTATAGTGTAAATGGGGACATAAGCCTGACAACCTTGCCCATAATTCCCAGGATAACATTTCTTTATCTTTAGGGGTCATAGATGTTTTGAAACTCTGTGGGGAGCAGACAACCCTCTTCCAGACACAGCACATTTGAGCACCATTTTTGTGCGATGTTTCAGGGGCCTCCCCCTCCCACAATCCCATCCGTTGACACTCCAAGGGTACATGGACCATGGGTTAAAAACATCAGTCCTATGGCACTTTGGATGCAGAAAGGCCGGTGGGGACAAAGGGGCGATGGAAGGGGGAAGGTGGAGGTGGTGGAGAGAGGAGGTTCCCTCACCTGCTCTAAGGCTGCCGCTTGACCTAACCAGGGCAGACCACCCAGCTCTTTCCCAAGATGCTGGCTCTAGCTCTGGCCAGGAGGTGGAGGTGGGATGCAGAGTCCACACTCCCTCCCTCCAGCTCCCCCAGAGAACACAAAGACCACACAGCAGCCCCTCTTGGGCCCCACTTCAAGAAGAACCAAGAGCAGCAGGCATCCAGAGGCTTGAGCCACACGTCTGCAGGCCTCCCTGCTACTCCATGCCCATTTCATCACTCCCGCCCCCAGGCTCAGAACTCTGGAAAAGAGCTCTTGCCCAGGTCAGACAAGCAGACCCCCTGGAGTGACCCCGGGGCCTGCCCTCTGCTTGGGGACTCAGCTGCAGACCAGGCAGGTCATGCCTGGCACTGGCCTCCCTCTTTGACACCAGCCGTTCCCCACCCCCGCCCCCATCACCACACAGGGTCACATCTGCTTTGGCAAACAGCCAGTCTTAAGTTACTGACTCCAGTTATATTGATTCAAGGAGTCACTGGGGACTCCAGCCTGGCCAACAGGAGGAAAGAACCCATCAGTCCGTCCACCCTTCCGTCCCCAAGCCCTACTGGATGCCCCCAGCTCAGTGCCTATCAGGAGGGTAACAACCCTCTCCTGGGTGTGGAGGGAAGATAACAGGCCCACCACCGCCAAACACGGCGAGAGGCTGCTGAGTCCCAGCAGTGCTCAAGGCACACAACACTCCTTGAGCCAGAAAACCGGGAGAACCACCAATTTCCTGTGCTTAAGACTTGCTCTGGGGATCTCCTGAATCCAGAAGGCTAAGGTCTAAGATTCTTCTCTAATCCCGGAAAGCCACCTGCCTTCCACCGAGGGGGAAGGGTCAGACAACCTTCTTTTGGCCTGTGTCCAGTTCCTCCTGGCCTGGCCCCTTGCAGCGCTAGGTGGGTGGGGGCTTGGGGAGCTGACGCTTCCTATTCCCTTTGCCCGCCGCCCCCCCACCCCCAACATGCAGAGGCAGCCCTGGTCTGGTTCTAATCGGGGCTGAAGTCGGCTCCCTTTTTCGCTCTTCTCTCTCCCTCCCCCCAACCCTTTTTCCTTCATTTCTACGGCTTTGGAAGCCAGAGCGTTCCAACTGTCTGTGTGCCAAGACCTTCCCGAGTCTGAAAGCTGCTGAAGTAACAGATCAGATTTTAGCAAGTGCTTTCCAGGCTGAGCGCCAAGCCCTCTTCTGATTCACGGAGAGCGAGCGAACGGGGAGCAGGCGGGGAACCAACGAGGGCTGCACCACCTTAGGCGAGGGAGTGCGGAGCGTGGCCCGTCCGGGAGCGGCCTCGCGGGCAACGGCCACTCAGCCTAGGCGCCCTCGAGGTTCCCCTTGTCCCGGGCGTGTGTGTGTCTGTATGTGTGTCTCAGTGCTCCAAGCGCCTTCAAAACCACAGAGTAATTTACAACTGAAGCTTTCTCCCTGGACTCGAAATCCACTCGGCTGAAAGCCTTTTTGTTTGGAAGCGGTGATGTTAAGGGAAGGTTGGCAGAGAAAATCCCTAGGTCCTACCCCTCGCTGACTGCGGGCAGGAGTCTTAGAGCCGGGTATATTGCTGCGGCTGAACCCGCCGGGTCTGCGGGATCTCCTTCCAGCCGAGGCCGACAGGGGCCGCGACAGCCAGCGCCGCCTCGGGCCCCGCGGCAGAGCCCCTTGCCCTTGGCCGGTCCCCCGCCGGCGCAGGGCGCGCGCGGAGCCGCCCTTCCGCGCCCTGGGAACAGGTGCACTGGGCTCGGCGCCCAGGAGGGGTGGGGCACAGGGAGGGGGCGCGGCCGGGGAAGGGGGGTCGGCGTGTACCGCGAGGCAAGGGCGGGAGGAGGTCAGAGTCAGGAGCCCACGTACCTGTACCTGGAAGCACAGCAGCAGGAAGTGTAAACACCTGCGGGAAACAGATGGAGAAGCGGTCAGTGGGACCTGAGGAGGGGGGCGCACGGACAGACAGACACGCAGTCGAACAGTCAAGCGAACGGACGGGCGGGTAGACAGAGGCACAGGGCACAGGCACACGGACAGACGGCCAGGCAGGGTGGGCAGCCCCGCGCGCGGGCGCTTACAGGCAAGTGCAGGCGGAGGGCGCTGAATACATCGCTGGGCGGGAGGGAGGCGGCGGCTCCTAGCCCAGCCTGCACATGTCCGCTCCGCGCGGCCGGGACCGGGCGCCTCCGCCGCCGCCGCCGCCGCCGCCGCCGCTGCTGCTGCTCCCTCCTCGCCGGCTGCTGCTGCTGCAGACTCTGCTGCTCCGGGGCGCTCCGCGGCGCGCCCTGCGGCATCAGCGCCCCGCGCGGCTCCTCCCGAGCGCTGCGCCCTCCGGGCTGGCGCAGGGGCTGCGGGGCGGCAGCCGCTGTGCAGGAGGCGCCTGGCTGGTGCGGGGAAGCTTGCTCACTGCTGGCCGGCCGGCCGTCCGGGCGTCCGTGGGAGGTTGGCTTCCCGGCTCAGTTCGGGGACAGCATGCGCGGCGGGGCTGGAAGCCGGGTTGCACTCTCTGGCCCGGGCGCGGAGCTGCGTGAGGCCAGGGGTCAGCGCTCCGGGGTCGGGGCGCGCGGCTGCAGCACGAAAGCGTCACGGCCGCTCCGTCTGGGCGCCCGCCGGCTCATGTCTCCTCCTCCGCGTCTCTCCGGCCGTGCGCATCGCCGCCTCCCACCACTGGCGGCGGCCGGGGCGTTTTCTACGCGCGGGCGGCGAGGGGGCGGGGGGCCGGGGGCGGGCCCGGGCCAGAGCCGGCACAATGAGGATGCGGGGCCTGGGGGCTCCCCCCTCGGGGCGCGGCCGGACGGGCGCTCAGCTCGCCTGGGTGCGCCCAGCCCACATCAAAGGCGGCCCTGCCTGCTCGCCTGCCTGCCGCGGCCTCTCGCTGCCTCCTCCTCCTTCTCCCGGCGGCTCGGGGTTGGAGGGGAGGCGCTCAGACTCTCGGCGACGGAACCGGCAGCTCCGAAGGGGCAGGACCCACGAAACTGAAGCTGGTGAGCGCTGGAAGCCGTCGGAGCTCTGCGCCCGAACGCAGTGACCCGCTCCTCCGCGCAAACGTTGCCCAAACTGGGCAGGCGATGCTTCCCAAGAAAGCAGTTAGGTACGGAGCGTCCTCACCTGCCCACATTCGCTAGTCGCACTCACCAGCGCTCGAGTGGGGAGCCGAGAGGGGGCGGGTCAGACCCAGCCCCGGGGCGGCTCCACTGAATGGGGGTCGCTTTTACCCGCTCTGTGATCGTGGAGTTTCCCAGCCACCCTCTTGACTGGCTACGCACTTAAGTGAGCCCCCTTTCTCTTCTTACGTCCCTGCCGCTGCGAAGGGGGCTCCGGGGCGTCTCTCCTTCCCACCCCTTGCCGCCTCCAGGGTTCTGGGGTCGGTTCACGGGATCCCAGCTGGGCTCTCCCGTAGGCGAGCCAGCTTTGGAAACACACGGCTACCACCAAGCGGCCCCGAGACGTCACTGCAACCCCAGCACGGACGGCTGCACGCCGGGGAGCAGCCAGCAGGACTCTGGTCAGCGACCACGCTGAGGCCCTCTTCTGGCCTCCTCCCAAAACCGGGCTGAGACTTGCCCCGTTTGCATACTATGCAGCTTCGTTCCTTTAACCAGGGTCCCATTCAGGACACTGGTTCTTACCGCCTCCACCCCTTCCAGAGGCATAAGTCCTGTCCTTCCCACCAACTCCAAAACGTAGATGTTCTTGTCACGCACCTGCCTCACTGTCTAGAGCCGGTGTCAGCCAAGCTCTGCTTAGGCCCGATGCTAAGGAAAATAGGTCAGTGAGAAAGACATTGGAGTACAGCCTCAACCAAAACTCAGGAATCTGGACTGTTTGGTTAAAGCCTCCTTGCGTTGGCAATGGTTGATGGTCCACTAGAGCATAAACTGAGGTAGGACTGTGGAACGGTGCTATTTCCTGAAGCCATGAATATAAAACATTAGTAATTGTTCCAAATATCAGGCCTCCTTGCAAGCTATTTTAAGTTCCCTTTCAAAGCTGAGGCTATTTTAAACAGCCTCTGTTTCAACACTGGACGCAAGTGCAGAAAACCTTTTCAAACCCAGGTGCTGAGTGATGGCGAAAATTCCTGCATGAAGCTTTTGAGCTGAATTTACTTAGACATTCTGATTGCCAGAGCTGGACTTGCAAAGTTACTCGTAACTTTCCAAGTTCTGGAGAAAATGAACCAATCCCAAGATAGGATGCAATGACGAACTATAAATAGAAATGCACAGAAATTCTCCCACCGGTGACCTCAGTCATTGCCACCATCTTTGATCTTGCTTTATAGGAAGATTGACAAACCCAGTCAACAGGGGTTTTTGGCTTACCATCTGCTAGTTTGAAGTATCTCCTGGCTAAGAATCATGCTTCAAATTTTCTGTACTGTTACTATTTTTTATTACTTGTGAATGGAATGGGTATATAATTATTTATACCCTATCTAAAATGCTTGCAGTGTTTTTCAATGCTCGGATAAAGTATATTTGCCAATCTCACCTATCAAACAAATCAGACTGACCAAAAGGTCCAGCCAAGAGAACACTTCTGAGTAAGAGCATAAACTCAGGAGTCAGAGGCAGTGCATTTGAATACTGTCACCAACATTTACTTACAAATTCCAGCAAGCGACGGTTTGAGACTCTGCTTCCTCCTCTACAAAATATGGCTAAGAACAGTAACGACTTTCACAGAGTTGTGAGTACTCAATGAGTGTCTGGCACACAATGAAAACTCCAAACATTTTAGCTAACTAATAATCCTAATTATGGTTTTCAGGTTATTTTCACATTTCTTTCTGAACAATTTTATGAAGTAGGGAGGCAAGATCACTTCCAATTTACAGTTGAAGAGGCATCTAGTCAGAATGTCTTTTGACTCCAAATCAATTTTATACTACACATTCTTTTCCCCACCACTCACACCCTCACGTCTGGTTTCATGTACCTATTTACCAATATGACCTATTTACCATATGCCTGAATCTTAAATGGGTTCTATCTGGATTTAGCATGTTCATACAACACTTAATGTATACCACTATTTTAGTAGTCACTTCTTACTAGTTCAATCACAATTTATTGAGATCCTACAGTGTCGGCCCCTCACTGAAAGACAGGCAAGATCCCTGCACTAAAAAAGTACTTCGTCTCCACTAGGGAAGATGAGCCATAAGCAAACACACCAAGAGATAAATGCTGGCTTGTTACCAGTGCTTTGAGAGAAACCAGTGGGATGAGATGAACAGTACAGGAGATAGAGCAAGCTAGAAGACCTCTTGGTAACATTTAGGCCAAGACCCAAAGACAGGAGATAGCCATGCAAAGGAATATTCCAGGTAAAAAATGCAAAGTGCCTCCAGTGGAAAAAGGCTAGGCGACTGGCAGGGTTAGCCAGGGAGAGTGTGGCAAGAGATAAGGGTGAAAGCAGGCAATGTTCTTGACCAGGCCTTCGCAGGAAATGAAGTAGCCATCAATGGCTTAAGGGTACCAGTTTTGCAATGCATCCGTTTTAAGTGTACGGTTCAGTTCTGACAAATGTATCTAGGTACAAACACCACCTCTTCTCAGGCAATCTTCCAGCCCCCAATTACTGGTCCCAAACAATCATTTATCTGGCACTGGTTTATTTTCAATTTCATATAAACAGAACCACCTAGTATGTGCTTGTGTCTGGCTGAGCATGTTTGAGATTGGTCCGTTGTTGCATTTTGCAGTAGTCAATTCTTTTTCATCATGGGATAGTATTTCATAGTATAGATATGCCACAATTTGTCAATTAAGGGCTTTCAAACTGAGTCAAAAATCAGTTTGTTAAAAAAGCTTTACCCTGGCTAAGAATGAAGTGGAATGCTGTTACACCATCCCACTTCATTCTTAGTAGCTGGAGTAAGCAGGACACTAAGAAAGCTAGCTGTTACCAGTCCAGGTAAGGGTACTGTAGCTTGGGCTACGCAGCCATGTGCTATTTTGGGGTCGGAATCAGACACACCTGCATTAAATTCACAGCTCTAAGTTAATAAACTCAGGCAATTTTCTGAGGGGAGTTAAGAATGTATGTTGACTGGTAACACAATGAAATGAAAGCCCTGCAGAGCATCTCGATGCCTTGCCTACTGACTAACCCTAAGCACCTAGAACTTTTGTCTAAGACAAAGTATGTATTTAAATCCCTTTGTTCAAGTGTGCAAGTAAACTGAGCACTGCAATCTTTCCACTTGTTTTCCACTTCTTCCCAGTCTTGACGGAGAAGACGCCTAAGATTCAGGGAATCTGTGGAGTACAAATATTGTGGAGACAGAGATGGAAAACATCTAGCCTAAGAACACAGGACAGGCCGGGCACGGTGGCTCACGTCTGTAATCCCAGCACTTTGGGAGGCTGAGGTGGGCGGATCATGAGGTCAGGAGTTTGAGAGGAGCCTAACCAACACAATGAAACCGTGTCTCTACTAAAAATACAAAAATTAGTCGGGCATGGTGGCACACGCCTATAATCCCAGCTACTCAGGAGGCTGAGGCAGGAGAATCGCCTGAACCCGGGAGGCGGGGGTTGCACTGAGCTGAGATCTGGCCACTGCACTCCAGCCTGGGGGACAGAGCAAGACTCTGTCTCAAAAAAAAAAAAAAAAAAAAAGACAAGCAGACTCAAGCAGCACTGTCTTCAGTAGTATCAGATAATCAGCAAAGTAGACCCTTAGCACAAATAGGCTGTAAAGTTTTCTCAAAGCCAGCTCCTAGAACGCGCACAGCATTAAATCTTGGGACCTCTACTGCCAAGTCCACGAGTCAGGGAGCAACTGGCTTTTCATTAAGGAACTGGCTAGAAAGTAGCCTCACTGTCTTAAACTTTAACCCTGTATTTCCAGAGTCCAGGACACCTTTATAATAGGCTCAGTACAAACTTGTAACCCTCAACTTTTTTTTTCTTGGACAATTTCCAAGAAGACTCACACCCTATACAATGCTCATCTCTCCTTGCTCATTAAGCTAGTACTATCAAGAGCTACATAGCAGGTCGTAATCCCAGACCTTGGGAAGCTGAGGCGAATGGATCACTTGACGTCAGGAGTTTGAGATCATCCTGGCCAATATGGTGAAACCATCTCTACAAAATACAAAAATTAGCCGAGTGTGGTGGCGTGCACCTGTAGTCCCAGCTACTCAGGAGGCTGAGGTGAGAGAATCACTGGAACCTGGGAGGCAGAGGCTGCAGTGAGCCAAGATCACACCACTGCACTCCAGCCTGGGCAAGAGACTGAGACCCTGTCAAAAAAAAAAAAAGAAAAAAAAAACGATTTTATCTGTTAAGAAAAAAAGAAAAAAAGCTGGTTGGGCGCCGTGGCTCACACCTGTAATCCCAGAATTTTGGGAGGCCAAGGCGGGAAGATTACCTGAGGTCAGGAGTTCGAGACCAGCCTGGCCAAAATGGTGAGATGCTGTCTCTATTAAAAATATAAAAATTAGCTAGGCATGGTGGCATGTTGCCTGTAATTCCAGCTACTTGGGAGGCTGAGGCAGAAGGTTACTCACTGTAACCCGAGAGGCAGAAGTTATAGAGACAAAACTGCACCACTGCACTCCAGCCTGGGAAACAGAGCAAGACTCTCAAAAAACAGAACAAAAATAAAAGCTACTTAACGATGTTTTGGTTAACAACAGACCACCTGTATGGTGGACCCAGACTAAAAGGGAGCTGACCATTGTAGCAGATGCATTACTCGTGTTCATGATGCTGGTGCAAAGAAACCTGTACATGCAATTATGTACAGCACATACTTGATACTATGAAAATAAATGTTACTGATTTACATATTTATAGCATTTTATCAGTGTTATCCTTAACCAAAACAAAAAAAAAAAAAAAAAAAGCCTCAGGCAGTATTCCAGATGGCAATGTTATAGATGACAGCATCGTCTTATTGCCCCTGAAGACATTCCAGTGGGACAATGTATGGTGGATGAGTGACTTGTTGATGATCCTGACCCTATGGTAGGCCTAGGCTAATAACCCTATGGTAAGCCTACGCCTAGTTAACAAAAAAGTTGAAAAAAACATAATAGAAATGTACAGAATAAGAAGGTATTTTTGAGGCCGGGCACGGTGGCTCACGCCTGTAATCCCAGCACTACCCAGTGGGTAGATCACATGAGGTCAGGAGTTCGAGACCAGCCTGGCCAACATGGTGAAACCCTTACAAAAATACCAAAAAAAAAAAAAAAAAATTAGCCAGGCATGATGGCGGGTGCCTGTAATCCCAGCTACTTGGGAGGCTGAGGCGGGAGAATTGCTTGCACCCAGGAGGCGGAGGTTGCAGTGAGCCAAGATCACACCATTGCACTCCAGCCTGGGCAACATAAATGTGTTTTTGTAGTTAAGTATCATGAGTCAAAGTTTTTAAAGTTTATGAAGTTCAGTAAGCTAAGATTAATGAAGAAAAACATTTTTATATTTAACGTCTAAGTAAACCATGTTTATAGTTTACAGTAATGTCCTAGGCTTTTCATTCTCACTCAGTAACTTCCATATACCGTGTTTATAGTTTACAGTAATGTACTAGGCTTTTCATTCTCACTCAGCAACTTCCCCTTCTGCAAGCTGTATTCATTCCAGTGCCCTATATAGGTATGCCATTTTATCTTTATCTTATTTTTACCATACCTCTGTTAGAGACACAAATACTATTGAGATACAAGTACCTATAGTATTCAGTTCACCTATACTGCACAGGTTTGTAGCCTTGGAGGCATGGGTTGTACCTTACAGCTTAGATGTATGGTAGGCTGTACCACCTAAATTCACGGAAGTAGACTCTGATGTTCACATGACGAAATCACCTAATGGTGCCTCTCTCAGCACGTATCCCCATCATTCATTAAGTTACCCATGACTACATATTAAGTCAAAACCATGTATTTTCTGCATTGATACACCTATTATTCTGTATTTGCGTGTTTTTAAGCTCATCTGCTTTCCCTGCATAGCCTTACTTTTTACTACTGTAACCTATTCTACCTGTTCTCTGGTTGAGACTGAAGGTAGCTCTGTAGTTACATTGACTATTGACTTATGAAAAGCTTGTCAGCCAACCTGTGCAACATGCCCTTCTCGGTACTTAAAATTGTTCATTTCCTTGTTTTTCCAAAGGGTCTAGTCTGATCTAATCAACCGACTACCCTAAACCCAGTATTAACAAGCAATGTTCCCACCCAGACAGTGGTCTACAAATACCATTATTTCTAAGGGAGGCAGGGTTCTTTGGGGGAAATGGCCACTCCAGGTCTGAGGAAGAAAATGAGCAAGATGAAACACCCTGTCACAGAAGTCAAAGAGTGATCAGATTACTGAGATCTACTATGACAGGAGCAAGCTTGAAGGGGATTCCCTTGGTCAAAAATAAAATATCAGCATCAAAAAAATACAGTGGGTTGAGATATATACAAATAAAAAAAACCTGAATTAAGGTTAAACTCACTCACTGATTCCTTTTCACAAGCTGCTAGGTATCAATCCATCATTCTAAAAATTGGCAGAAAAGAAAAAATCACATTAAAATCATTTCCAGCACAGAATGAAAGTCTGTCTGGGCACACTGGCTCACGCCCGATGCCAGCACTTTGGGAGGCCGAGGCAGGCAGATCACTTGAGGTCAGGAGTTCGAGACCAGACTGACCAACATGGTGAAACCCTATCTCTACTAACAAAAAAAATTATATATATATACACACACACACACACACACACACATTTATATTTTAGTATATTTATATACTATATATATTTACATATTTGTTTTTATGTGTATATACAAACTTAGCCAGATGTGGTAGCACACACTTGTAATCCCAACTATTTGGGAGGCTGAGATGGGAGACTGCAGTGGGCTGAGATTACACCACTACACTCCAGCCTAGGGGACAGAACGAGAATAGATCTCAAAACAAGAAAGGAAAAAAATTCAAGACCACTTCAAAATGTTGGAATAAATAAAATGTTGAGTGATGTTTTTAGATTTCAGATACACACCCAAAGCAGCAAGCAGTTGGTATATTAAAATCAACACAAAAATCTGAAAGACAAAATAAAAGTCTCTTTCCCGAGTTTAAACAAAAAGGAATGAGAAAAACTATCCAAGACAATCAAACAAGTCTAAGAATGGATAGAAGTGGGAGATGAAAATCTCCCAAGGAAAACGGCACAGAACTGGAGAACATTCCCTCATCTGCTCAAACTACTGGAGTACATACCACAGCAGAACAACAGAAATGAAATCAGTATATCCAACTCAGATCATGTGTAATCAGCTTAAGATAGAACATATAAAGGTGCTAATTAGTCCCCGAATATCCTCATATCTATGTGATAATTTTTCTCCTATACATCTGTAAGAAGTACTATTAGGCAACTTCAGCAAATAGTCACTGAAATAATTGCTTTGATTCAGACAAGGAATCCAGATTGAGGTCAGGTGCGGTTGCTCACACCTATAATCCTAGCACTTTAGGAAGCTGAGGTGGGCAGATCACTTGAGGTCAGGAGTTCAACACCAAGCCTGGCCAACATGGTGAAACCCCATCTCTACTAAAAATACAAAAATTAGCCGGGCTGGTGGTTCACACCTGTAATCCCAGCTACCTGGGAGGCTGAGGCAGGAGACTTGCTTGAACCCAAGAAGCGGAAGCTGCAGTGAGCTGAGACTGTGCCACTGCACTCCAGCCTAGGGGAAAAAAAACAAGAATACAGGTTGAAAGGCTGCTTTTACGCTGTTTTAACATGTCAGATTTTCTTTGTGAGTGAGGCTAGAATAGGCGGATAGGAGGTCTAATGGAACATTTGGAAACATGTTGCATAGTTATAATAATTGTTAACTATCATCAGGAGGTGGGAACACAGCACTAAATCCTTATGATGAAAAAGTGGTTAGCTCCAGTGAACTATTGAAGGGGAGGGGCAGGGACATTCTCATAGAATTTTAGAATACTATTTGCCATTCCTAACTACGTAAATTATTTCTTTGACAAAGTATAAAGCAGTTAAATAAGTCAATAGAAACCGTGCTACTTTATTAAAATACTGAGTTTTATTTCACATGTATATTTTTGTCTCCCCACCATTTCCATGTCTGACCACCGCTACTACTATGTCCTATCATAACATTCCATACATACTTAAAACCAAGCAAAGGGTGGAGTTCCATCTTTAAAAACTAAACAGGCATTTTGGACAACACATTCTTGGCAATGGAACCTGGACAACATTTATCAAACACGGTAGGGAAAGTTCTCACTCTGCATTATAAAAAGGACAGCCAGATATCAACTGTTACAGAAATGAAATAAGACGGAAAATTTTTAACAAATTGTTTAAACTATTTTCTTAAAGAGACTTCCTCCACTGCCAGAGATCTTGAATAGCCTGGAAAAAAAAAAAAAAAAGAAATGTGGTTAAGGAACCACAACACTTCACAGACATCAATAAATTAAATGCCTCTTTGCATAGTTCAACATCTATTTTTCATTCTACCACCAAATAACTCTAGATAAAGAAATGACTCCAAGAAAATTTATACTCAGATATAATTTAATTCCTAATACTTTAATCAGTCATAAAAATAATACGAATATACTAATATTTAATAGTTCATTTACTTACGGAAATAAAGAGAAAGACCAGAGACCCATTTGGCCAATGTTACTTCCTACTTCATCTTCCCTGAGATCAGCTTTAGAGTTGGCCAGATTTAGCAAATAAAGTTAAACACCAGAAATGTATTCTGAATTGCCTGTGCATGTGTGGCCTGTGCATGTGTACATTTAGAAAAAACTATCTGCTGAAGCTAGGCATGGTGGCTCACGCCTGTAATCCCTACACTTTGGGAGACTGAGGTGGGCAGATCACTTCAGCTCAGGAATTCGAGACCAGCCTTGGCAACATGGTGAAACCCTGTCTACTAAAAACGCAAAAATTAGCTGGGCTTGGTGGTGTGCAACTATAGGAGGCCCAGCTACTCAGGAGGCTGAGGAGGGAGGGTTGCCTGAGCCCAAGAGGCAGAGGTTGCAGTAAGCCAAGATCACACTACAGATGGGTGACCAAAGCAAACCCAAAAACAAAAAGCAAACAAAAAACAGCTGGCCAGACATGGTGGCTCACGCCTGTAATCCCAGCACTTCAGGAGGCCGAGATGGTGGATCACCTGAGGTCAGGAGTTCAAGACCAGCCTGGCCAACATGGCAAGGTGGTTCTGAATAAAAATCCAGAAGTTCACCAAGAACTAGAAAATGAGATGACAGGATTCTCTCAGCTGTCAGTTTCACAGCCAATGGGTTCTCAGGTACAAGATAACCGAATACTGAATGCCAATATTAAATATCATAGAAATATTTTTTTGTTGAGATGGACTCTCACTCTGCCACCCAGGATGGAGTGCAGTGGCACTCACTGCAACCTCTGCCTCCCAGGTTCAAGCGACCCTCCTGCCTCAGCCTCTTGAGTGGGTGGGATTACAGGTACATGCCACCATGCCCAGCTAAATTTATTATTTTTAGTAGAGACGGAGTTTTGCCATGCTGCTTCCCAAAGTGCTGGGATTATAGGCATGAACTACCACGCCCAGCCAAAGATCTTCTCATCATCAGGTTCAAATAAATATACATTGTCATTGCTTGCATCTTGCATCTCTATGTCAAAGACGGGAAGCATTTAGTTTTGATAATCTCTAATAGTAATTCAAGTTATTAAACATTTACTATTTATTGCAGAAATTTCATTCTGACACGAGAATACTTTCAATTCTAGAGCAAGATAATACTTCTGGTAGGCTGGGCAAGGTGGCTCGTGCCTGTAATCCTAGCACTTTGGGAGGCCAACTTGGGAGGACTGCTTGAGGCCAGGAGTTCAAGACCAACCTGGGCAAAAATACTTTTAAAAACAAAATACTTCTGGTAGAAGTGCTGGTTCAGTAATTTAATAGCTACAAAACTTTGTAGCTACAAGCCTTTGTTATAAAGTACAGAGGACCACTGCAACTTAATCGTTAAATTATCACTTTCCTTGGCTGTACTTGAAGAAATGCATCTCTTATGCTTAGCTGTTAGTATATATTGGTTATTTATGTCTGACTTTCCACTATTTTCAATATTAAATAACCTGTTGCATAATGCTTCAAAATAACCTGTTGCATAAAGTTTCAAAATAACTTATGCTCAATCAATGTTTAGTATTCCAAATAAACTCCCAAAACTCACACTTTAAACTTTGGGATTCAAATGTAGAGAAAAAACAGAATAGCAACCAAAAGACTGAATCTGATCATCTTAAAGCCCATCACTGCAACTTTAGCAAAGCTCAAGTCAAAATTAACCAAATCAGGGTTTTATAAACCCGAAAACTAAAAATTAAGGTGCAATTAAAATAACTGACCTGCTAAATTATTATGGCAGAAAAAAACCAGCTAATTGCCAAATTTTCTGAAAAAAGCTGACTACAGGAAACCTAAAAACCATTAAATGCAGCCATCGGTTCTCTACACGATACCTACCTAACGTCCCTATTTAACCACTTTTACATTTTCCTTACACTTATAAGTCAACTGTAAATAAGAGCAAAAATAAATGCATAAACTATGTTGACTAAGACTTTCGTACTAATTGTAAAATCTAACAGCTAAACTCAAGCTTATATATCTAGTAGTAGCCACAATTTAGTGTCTTGCTTCCAGGTTTCACGTTAGGATGATTTTGGCAAAATGTATTTCCCATAAGATCTATGGAAAAAAAAAAAAGATCTCTACCAACTCCCAAAAAAGCAAAGACCAGACTGCCCCAAGCCGCCAAATGGAGCAACAAGGAAAACCACAGCAATTTCCTTAGCCAAAATAGTACCAAAAAAGTAAAACTGAATTCAATAACCAAGAAATAATTTGCCAACTATAGGAAATCTGGAAAATATACTAAAGTTATCGTCTCAGACTGCCAACTGTATTCTTCATGTATTTCATTAAATACATGAATTTTCAGATTATTTCATTAAATGAATTATCTGTGGCTAGGAACTTTTTAAAAAGAGCCAACACTTAAAAAGGGTAAAGGCAGAATCATAATAAATCACGAAAAACTTGGACTTCATCTTGTCCCCAGAAAATTCAGTTACCTCTTGGTCAGTCATCCGGAAGCAATTCTTCACATAATTGATGAACTTGGCTTCCACTTTGGGAAGAGAACCACCCTATTGAGACAAAAGCATTATTACAGGTAAGTAGAGAAATACACTGAGAGAGATACCTTTAGAAAATTCCTCAATAATCTGCAATGCTACTACATAGAGCAGTTTACTCCTTTTCCCTTCAACTTTCCAAGAATACTCAATGTCTTTTCAGGGCCAGAAAGCCCTATTAGGCAGCATGGCTAGTATCTCTATTCAAACAGATTTGCCAAAGGGTCAAATCTTCCCAGACGACCTCTCTAGGAACATAAAAGCTACACCTGAGATTCTACAGACAAACATGACATGGCAACTCGGCTGCTTATCTGTATTATCTAACAAGCCGGTTTTATCACCCAGAACCAAACACAACCTATAACACTCCTTTGGAGAACCATGTCAAGTGACCCAAACTGTTGTTTAAAAAAACAAACAAAACCCCACAAAACACTTGTTGATCACAAACCAGTTCAGAACAATAATGATCTGGTCATCAGTTAAAGATATATAAAGTTGAATGGGGAAAAAATTACAGTGATTACATTTCACTAATCACTCTTACCATTTCCTTCAAATTACGGATATACGCAAGAAACTACAATGGGGGAGAAATTACAGTAATTACACTTCACTAATCACTCTTACCATTTCCTTCAATTTCCTTCAAATTATGGATATAGGCAAGAAACTACAACAAGTGTTGGCAATACCTGTAACTTTTTGTCACCAAAATTTCAAAACATTACTATTGCAAATATCTTGAAATGTTTATTTATCACTACTTTGGAATTACCTTAAAGCACTGAATATATCTGTTTTTATTAAATTTAATACCTTTCCCTCTAAGTATCTTTTATGCATTTTTAAAAGATTGAAAAGATTTTCAAATGTCCAAGGGACCTTGGCAGAATCAAGTATAGCGTTAAGAAACTTAACTGCCTCCAATAACCTAGTAAAATAAACCTCAATTTCCATTTCAAAATTATTGTCACATACATTCTTAATTGATTCATTCAAATATTTATTGAGCAGCTAAGGAGATACAAAGGCGATTTAAAACATTGTCAGAGGTGAGGCAAATGCACAAGTAATAGAAAGCAAAGGGCAAGGTTCACTGAATCACAGCAGTCAGAAGAAAGTGCTTTAGGGAACCAAGAGTGAGACTGTTTCCAGCCTGAAGAGGCATGGGTGGCAAATCAGAAAAGGGGATTGAGATTAAAATAGAAGACTTCAGTCTGGATTGTTGATGACACTCAGTATGGACTATATTTGTCTCTCCTTTTCCTTTCTCCCCATCTTTGGGCTTAATTTACATGTAGTGCCCAGGGCTGTTCAATGCGCCTGCAATTAAACCAAGGAGATAGGACCATATTAAAATGGAGGGGAGGGGAATCTAAAATATGTCATTTTAGCATTGTATCCAAGGGACAAAAATCTGATAAGCAGGAAGGCTAAAGGGTTTCCAGTGTGACTAAAACAAGAAATATGTTCCAGTTCTAAAATTTTTTTTCCAGTGGACTTATCACTGTACAAGGAAATCTACACAAGCCAACAAAAAATCTATAGAGCACAGGAAAAACATGGGGAAATGAGTTGGCAATTTTTCCTTACCACCCCACATTTGTTCTCAATAATTGCAGTCTAAAAGTATTGTTCATTGAATTAAAGCTTCTCTCAAATGTGCTTCCAAGGCATTTAAACCATTTATTTCATATCCTACTGAAGTCAATCAGACAAGAGACCTAATCGTCTTCCCACATTTCCATTATTTAAGACAAAAGGAAACTAGATTTAAACCTATTAGTCATTCACAAAATCTAGCTATTACTACACATATTTAACTGGTGACAACTTGGTGTAAAGGGCAAACAGAAATGTCTCAATCTGCTGAAAATTACTTCTGACTAGGGTCAATCATGAATATTTAACTATAATACCAACCAACCAGTCTACTTTTCCAGCTGTTTGCAATTTTAATGAAGTCTCATACGCCCTCTGTTGGTTCTCTAGCATATCTTACAACCAGAATAGGTCAAGGGTTCTCACTGATCTATTTTAACATGGAAGGTCAGAATGTTATCTTGCAACCAGTGCACTACATTCCTTTTATAATGGAAAATAAGGCATATTTAATTTTGCATATGCAAATCACCATAGACACGATTATAAATGTTTTATAATTCATTTTTTTAAAAATTCATACCACAAACAGGGCAAGTACATTAAACCAAAACAAAAAAAACAAGAAACATTCACGTCTACGCAAACTAGACACACGCAATTTGAGCAGGGAGAAAGTTTTTTTTTAAAATAACTTTACTCACTTTTTCTATACTTGCTTGCATTTTTGCTTTAATGTCTTCTACAGAACTAGGTCCTTTTGGTGTTTTAGGAGTTTTTTCCTGTTTTTTGAAGGATTCTTGTCCCTGAAAAGGAAATGAACTTCCAAAAGGTCATAAGAATAAATACAACTCCTAATTTAAAACCCATTCTATCTGGATTTCCTCAAATAGTCTTACAAAACTCCCTTATAAAGCTAATTATACAACTGGAATTATCAATAAATTCACACCATACAATTTTGTTCTTAAAAATCTTTCTTGTAAGATTAGCTAGGCATGGTGGTGCATGCCTGTAATCCCAGCTACTCAGGAGGCTAAAGCGGGAAGATTGCTTGAGCCCAGCAGCTGGAGGCTGTAGAGAGAGCTATGATCATACCACTGTACTCCCAACTGGGCAAGAGTAGGACACCCATTTCTTTTTTAAAAAAAAAAAAAAAAAAAGGAGTAACTTGGGAGTTTGCTTTTTTATGCACAATACTCAGTTCAAAAAATGAAATCAGAAGATCCCTAAGAATAAAGCAAGAAAGTCATTGCAGTCTGATGCCTGGGGCCCACCCCAGACCAATTTCATGATAATCTCCATAAACAGAGCACAGTATTGGGTTCTTTTAAAGTTTTTCTCCTTTAAATTCCATTTTCTGCAGGGAAGGGGGTAAGGCCAGAAAGGAGACCATCACACCCTGTCTGGCCCTAAATGTTCTACTTCAATCTAATATGCAGCCAAGGTTGAGAATCTCTACTCTATGCAGGTATACTTTTCAACAAAGATTCCTTACAGGAAACAACTATTGACTTCACAATCATAAAAAATTCAGGCCAGGCGTGGTGGCTCACGCCTATCTCAGCACTCTGGGAGGCCCAGGAGGGCAGATCACCTGCAGTCAGGAGTTCAAGACCAGCCTGGCCAACGTATATAGTGAAACCCCACCTCTACTCAAAAATACAAAAATAAGCTGGGCCTGGTGGCACACACGTGTAGTCCTAGCTACTTGAGAAGCTGAGGGAGGAGAATCGCTTGAACCCAGGAAGTGAAAGTTGCAGCAAGCAGAGATCACGCAGCTCTAACCCAGACTCGCTGACACAGCGAGGGTCCGTCTCTCTCAAAAAAAAAAGTCTATTGGTTTCCCCCCGCCACTGGAACCCCAGCAGCACATTACTTAGTATGTTTGTCTGTGTGTACCTATAACACATAACAAGCTGATTTTTTTTTTTTTTGGAGGCAGAGTCTGACTCTTTCGCCCAAGCTGGAGTGCAGTGGTACAATCTCACTGCAACCTCCGCCTCCTGAGTAGGTGGAATTACAGGAACATACCACCATGCCTGGCTAATTTTTGTGTTTTTAGTAAGGACGGGGTTTCACGATGTTGGCCAGGCTAGTCTCAAACTCCTGACCTCAGGTGATCCCACCAACCTTAGCCTCCCTCCCAAAGTGCTGCTGGGATTACAGGAGTGAGCCACTGCGCCCGGCTGCAGCAAGCTGATTTAAACTTTAAAACAGCAATTACAGGCGTTCTATAAAGGCCTATGAAATTTCAGACACACTAGATTCTTCCACAGTAGAATCTTTTTTCCCCCGACTATATCAATGAGACCCATATGTAAATGTAACCACTTACTTTTGATCTTGGTGTTGATGATGGTTTTGAGTCTTTTCCATTCTGATTTGACTTTTGTGCATTTTTGGCTGGAGTATCTCGTATAGACTGCAATTAGAAATTTATCTTAATCACTGTCCCTGACCCCAGCAACAGTGCAAACAGAACTGTCCAAGCCATGTAAGAAAAGCAGCGGTAACCACAGGCTGGGCGCAGTGGCTCACGCCTGTAATCCCAGGACTTTGGGAGGCCGAGGCAAGTAGATCATGAGGTCAGGAGTTCAAGACCTGCCTGGCCAACATGGTGAAACTCCATCTCTACTAAAAATGCAAAAATTAGCTGGGTGTGGTGGCCTGAGTCTGTAATTCCAGCTACTCAGGAGGCTGAGGCAGGAGAATCGCTTCAACCCGGGAGGCAGAGGTTGCAGTGAGCCGAGATCGCGCCACTGTACTCCAGTCTGGGTGACACAGACTCCGTCTCAAAAAAAAAAAAGAAAAAAAGAAGCAGCAACCACTTGAACAAAAGGTTACACAAGACTAACAAATTGGGTGGAGGGCTACATGGATAAAGAAAACAGACCATTCCCCACTGTAAGTTTTCTGTAGTCCTCCTCAGGACTAATTTTCAGTATGAGATGATCTCCCACACCAGCTTCCCTCAACTACAAAACAAGCAAATAGCACTAAAAAATTACTATTTCTATTGTTAGTTTAACAACCTTGTAGCATTGTTATCTACTCACTTTCTTCACTGGTGCTTTTTCTTCAGCTTCCTCATCATCAAAATCATCATCATCATCACTACAAATGAAACATCAAGACATTAAGCACTTTCAAAATTTGGGAGTAGACACAAGAATTGAAAGCAGGACCTTGACGTGATTATTTGTGCACCGTGTTAATCGAAGCATTCATTGTTCACAACAGCCAAGAGATGAAAGCAACCCAACTGTTAAATGGCTGAATAATGAAAATGTATATGCACACACGATGAAAATCCTCTTGCATGCTACATGACTGAACCTTGAACAAAGTAAAATAAGCCACCCACAAAAAACACTGTATGATTCTATTCATTAAGTATCCAAAAGTAGTCAAACTCAAAAGAAATGGAAGGTATAATTGTGATCACTAGGGGCTGGGAAACAAAGCTGCTCAATAAGTAGTTTTGCATGAATATACACTACGCCAATGTATAATATATGTATATTTAAGTAATGTACAGTTACATTAAACTGTACACTCAAATAGAGTGAATTTGTGTTAAAAAAAAAAAAAATTAAAGACCTAAATAGAAACATTCCATGTTCAGATATTGCCAAGATGGCAACACTCCCCAAATACACAGGTTAAATACAATCCTTAGAAGACTCCCCAAGCTGGTTTCTCTGTAGAAATAGATCCTAAAATTTATATATAAACCCCAGAGTCGGCAGTGTCTCACAACTATAATCCTAACACTTTGGGAGGCTGAGGTGGGAGGATCTCATTTGAGTTCGAGACCAGCCTAAGCAACATAATGAGAACCCTCTCTACAAAAAAAAAAAAATTTAATTAGCAGACATGGTTGTGCGTGCCTGTAGTCCCAGCTACTTGAAAAGCTAAGGCAGAAAGATCTACTTGAGACTGTAACTGTGTAATTCTGCCACTGCACTCCAGCCTGGGTGACAGAGCAAGACCCTATCTCAAAAAACAAAAACAAAAAAAGACACTTAAGGGACCCAAAGAGGCCAAATGCAATCTTGAAAGGAACAAAGCTAGAGAACTCACACTTGATTTCAAAAAATCAGCTATAAGACCTACGAAGGGGTCAAGGCACCATGGCTCATGCTTGTAATCCCAATACTTTTTACGAGGCTGAGGCGGCTGGATCACCTGAGGTCAGGAGTTTTGAGACCAGCCTGGCCAACAGGGAGAAATCCAGTCTCTACTAAAAATACAAAAATTAGCCAGGAGTGGTGGCGGGCACCTGTAATCCCAGCTACTCAGGAAGCTGGAGCAGGAAGACCCAGGAGGCGGAGGTTGCAGTAAGCCAAGATCGCACCATTGTGCTTCCAGCCTGGATGACAGAGTGAGACTCATTAAAAAAAAAAAAAACAAAACAAAACTGCAAAGGAACAGTGTTGTAACTGTTCTTACCTGTTAAGGATAGACACATACATCAACAAACAGACCAGAAATAAATACGTATATTTATAGTAAGTGATTTTTTTTTGTTTTTTGAGATGGAATCTCGCTCTGTCACAGGCTGGAGTACAGTGGCGCAATCTCTAATCACTACAACCTCTGCCCCCCAGGTTCAAGCGAATTCTCCAGCCTCAGCCTCCTGAGTAGGTGGTACTACAGACACAAGCTACCATGCCCAGCTAAAATTTGTATTTTTAGTAGAGACAGGGTTTCACCATATTGGCCAGGATAGTCTCTATCTCCTGGTCATAATCCACCTGCCTGGGACTCTCAAAGTGCCGGGATTACAGGTGTGAGCCACCGTACCGGGCCGTAAGTGACTCTTTTAAAGGTTGCCAAGATCCTTCAATGGGGAAAAAATAGTTTTTGAACAAATCATTTGGGGAAACTGCTCATCTACACCCCAAAGTCTATATCTGGACCCCTCCATTCACACCATACACAGATATTTACTCAAAATGGAACAAAGCGATAAATAAAGCTACAGGACAAAACTCAGAATTAAGGGGGTAAATTTTCACAACTTTGAATTTAGCAATGATTTCTTAGGATTGACACCAAAGGCACAAGCAACAAAAGAAATCAGACATAAAAAATTTAAAACTTGGTCAAAGGCCACCATCATGAAAGTTAAATGACAATTTCAGAATAGTGGAAGATAATCTGCAAATCATGCGTCTGATAACGTGCTTGTTTGCAGAATGTATAAAGAATTCTTAGGCCCGGTGCAGTGGCTCAACGCCTGTAATCCCAGCACTTGTGGGAGGCCGAGGCAGGCCTGAAATCAGGAGTTCAAGACCAGCCTGGCCAACATGGTGAAACCCAGTCTCTATTAAAAATACAGAAAATTAGCCGGGCATGGAAGGGATCGGGGGATGCCTGTAATCCTTGGAAGAAGCAGGGGAACTGCTTGAACAAGGGAGGAGGAGGTTGCAGTGAGCAAGAGCCAAGATCACATCATTGCACTCAAGCCTGGGCAGCAGAAAGAGACTTGTCTAAAAAAAGGATTTCTTGCCAGGGCACAGTGGCTCACAGCTGTAATCCCAGCAGTTTGGGAGGCAGAGGGAGGTGGATCACTGAAGACAGGCATTTAACGACAGCCTGGCCAACAACGGTGAAACCCCTTCTCCTACTAAAAATACAAAAATCATAGGAAAGAAAAAAATTCTTACAGCTCAGTAAAGACAAACAGAATTAACTGGATTTTTTAAATGGGTAAAGACATCTCCCCAAAGATATATGGCCAATGAATACATGAAAAGATGCTCTAATAAAGACTAATAATAGTCCATAGGTCTGAAATGCAATCAAACCCACAACTAGCACTTCATACCACCAGGATTAGAGTCAGATAATGGCAAGTGAGGGTGTAGTGAAATCAGAAGCCCCATACACTGCTAGTGGGAATACAATGGCTCAGCCACTCTGCTTTAGGTGTACACCCAAAAAAAATGACATGTCCACAAGCGTTCATAGCAGTCAACAAGTAGAAGCAACCCAAATGCTCACCAACTGACGCACAACCAAATAATATACCCATACAATGTATTCAACCATAAAAATAAATGGAGTTCTGATAATGCTTTCACATGGACGAAACTTGAAAACACTGTGCTAGGAAAACAGTCACAGAAGTCCATTCATGCAAAATACGAGGGACAGGAAACCTACAGACAAAGTTCATTTGTGGCTGACTAGAGCTGAGGAGCATGAGGGGTAATACCTATAGAAGACGATTTCTCATTGAGGTGATGAAATGTTCTAAAATTGATTGTGGTGATGGCTACACAACTAAGCACACTAAAACCACTGAACTGTACACTATTTTTTTCTTTTTTGAGTTTTACTCTTATTGCCCAATCTGGAGTGCAATGGTGTGATCTCGGCTCACTGCAACCTCCGCCTCCCAGGTTCAAGCAATTCTTCTGCCTCACCCTCGGTAGTAGCTGGGATTGCAGGTACCGACCATTACACCCAGCTCTTTTGTATGTTAGTAGGGATGGGGTTTCACCATATTGGCCAGGCTGGTCTTGAACTCCTGACCTCAGGTGATCCGTCCACCTCGACCTCCTAAAGTGCTGGGATTACAGGTGTAAACTGTACACGTTAAATAGGTAAATAATGGAGGGGAGTAATCCAATCGAGTCATTGGAGGGCAAGTCAGGCAGAAGTCTGTATCAGCAAATACTAAGTGGTTCACGTTTAATTCAAAAAACTGAACATACTGGCCTCTAAATCCCAATACGGCAACTTCATGTAAGAAACACCTATCTTTCCAATACCGAAGAAATAATTTCTGTATTTAGAAAAAGTATCATAACTTAAAAAAGTTGCCACGAAAAGCCTTTAAAGTGCTTTTTAACAGTGATTTTGTCATTACAAGTTTCTGGCATTAGAACCCAATCCCTGCAGGTGCCTCCCCTGTGCTAGAAACAAGATGAGAATGCTTTTCTTAAACGTTTTTTCTTATTCGTTAAAACAAGTCTATTAAACTACTATCAAAACAGCTATCAAAACTACTATCAAAACAGCTTTACTGGCAGGGCGTGGTGGCTCACACCTGTAATCTCAGCACTCTGGGAGGCTGGGGTGGGCAGATCACCTGAGGTCAGGAGTTCAAGACTAGCCTGATCAACATGGTGAAATACCATCTCTACTAAAAATACAAAAAATTAGTTTGGCCACGCTGGCGTATGCCTGTAATGCCAGCTACTTGGGAGGCTGAGGCAGGAGAATCACTTGAACCCAGAGGCAGAAGTTACATTCCAGCCTGGCCAACAATGCACTTCAGGTGAGGCGACAGACATTGTCTCGAAAGAAAAAAAAAATGAAAAAAGAAAAAATCCAGCTTTACTTATTAAGAAATTCCCCAATAAATTAAAAAAGACATTTAAGTGTCACATATTATCAAGATATTACATACACCTACACATAGGATACATCAGCACTACACACATTATCTAGCTTTTCTTGCTTAAATCAAGAGTCAACTAAGCCCACACTATCCCCTTTCCATCCTCAAAACGGGATCACTGATTTCCCTTTTTATCTGTTTAAAGGGTTAGATTTCTAAGTAACTATAACAAACCTTCCTGCACCTCTTTGCATTTTCATTGCCATCTAGCTATATGCTGGGCCCTTGCCATCTCACCACTAAAGTTTCTATTAAGACTTGTTTGCCTCAAAGCATCCTTTACCACTATGCCTAGACCTTAGTACGCTTTCTTCAACTTATATGAAAACTTGCAGCAGGGAATGGTGGCTCACGCCTGTAATCCCAGCACTTTGGGAGGCTGAGGCGGGCGGATCACCTGAGGTCAGGAGTCCGAGACCAGATTGGCCAACATGGTGAAACCCCATCTCTACTAAAAATACAAAAATTAGCCGGGTATGGTGGCAGGTGCCTGTAATCCCAGCTACTCGGGAGGCCAAGGCAGGAGAATTGCTTGAACCCAGGAGGCGAAGGTTGCAGTAAGCAGAGATCACGCCATTGCACTCCAGCCTGGGAGACAAGAGTGAGACTTAAAAAACAAACAAACAAAAAACATGGGTACTGATTTGGACCTTGATTATTATCTACACTTCTCATTCCTATCAACACCAAGACAAAGAAAAATTATTACATTGTGGTTACATCATGAATTTACATTCATTTTTTTGAGATGGGAGTCTCCCTCTGTTGCCCAGGATGGAATGCGGTGGCATGTTCTTGGCTTGCTGCAACCTCCACCTTCCAAGTTCAAGCGTTTCTCCTGACTCAGCCTCCTAAGTAACTGGGACCAACAGGTGGGCACCACCACGCCCAGCTAATTTTTTTATTTTTAGTAGATGCTGGGTTTCACCATGTTGGCCAGGCTGGTCTTGAAGTCCTGAGCTCAAGTCATCCACCCACCTCAGCCTCCCAAAGTGCTGGAATTACAGGCATGAGCCACCACGCCTAGCCTAACTATATCCATTTTTAAAAAAGGAAATCTTCCAAAACCCCAACAGGATCAAGACCACCATCAGGTCCTGTTCCAAAGTCTTTCTGGAAGTGACTGCTTGTCCCTGAGCCTTGGTGAATGCTATTAAATACTTATTTTATAAACTTGTGCAAAGGTAACTCAAAATCGGACTAAACCAATCCAAACCATACCATCCCTACTTCTCATTTGTGTTTTTAGCCCATTTCCCATTCTTCTCTTGGGATGTATTTCAATTCTTACTAATGACAAATATTCTTAAAAGTGATTAACAAGCTGGGCTTGGTTATGCACCTGCTTTGTAGGCTAAGATGGGAGGATAGCTTGTGCCCAGGAATTCAACTCCAGTCTGAGTAGCATGGTAAAACACCATCTCAAGAACAAGTGGCCGGGTGCAGTGGCTCACGTCTGTAATCCCAGCACTTTGCGAGGATGAGGTGACCGGATCACCTGAGGTCAGGAGTGTGAGACTAGCCTGGCCAACATGGCAAAACCCCGTCTTCTATTAAAAATACAAAAATCTGACTGGGTGCACTGGCTCACGTCTGCAATCCCAGCACTTTGGAAGGACGAGGCTTGGGAGGCCGAGGCAGGTAGATTATGAGGTTAGGAGTTCAAGACCAGCCTGACCAACATACTGAAATCCTGTCTCTACTAAATACAAAAATTAGCAGGGCATGGTGGCGCGCCTATAGTCCCAGCTACTCGGGAGGCTAAGGCAGGACAATCGTTTGAACTCAGGAGGCAGAGGTTGTGGTGAGCTGAGATGGCGCCACTGCACTCCAACCTGGGCAACAGTAGGGAGACTTCATCTCAAAAAAAAAAAAAAAAGAAAAACAGTGACAAATACTGCCTTAAGTTTGACTTCATTTATGGAAGTCTGACATGCAAGTACTTTGAGTTTTTATTTTTCTTTTGAGATTGGGTCTTGCTGTGTTGACCAGGCTGGCCTCAAACTCCTGGCCCTAAGAGATCCTTCCATCTCGGCTGGGTATTGGGATTACAGGTGTGAACCACTGCGCCTGGTCAAATTTGAATTTTTAAGCTTTCAGCTCTTTCAGCCTTTTTCCTATTTTCTGCCTTCATCGTCAATGCTCAAAGATTTTGAAGAACCACCAGTTTAAAACCTAAACTCCCAATTTGATCATTCATGCATGTTCTCTTTTAGAGTGCACGTTCTTATATTTTATTTAATGTGTTTTCAATAAATGCATATGGACCAATCTCAGAACTGAAGAACAAAGCTGAGAGCCAAGTATTTAATGTATTACTGATACTTGCACACATAAGACCAATTATAAACAGTACTTTATACCAGTGTGCATGTAACTGTTTATACCAAGTTTGATCCAGTTTAATAAAAAAATTAATGTTTCCAATCATATTTTAAATCCCAAGAAAAATCTTAATATCCCTTTTAGGATCTTATTTTTGTCCATTAAGTGTCTACATAAAAGCACAAGCCAAAATCCTTTTGGGGAATAACAAACCTTCAGTAACAATTTGTAAAATGAATATAGAGCTATTTAGTCAGATTTTCTTTCAACCCAATCTAATTAACTTCACCATAATACATACCAGGCTTGATGGGTATAACATCCACTAAATCTTTAAAACAAAGGGACATAATCAAACTTTGCAAATGCTATAGCCTACCCTTCTGAAGAGTCACAAGTCACAGCACTGTAAAGGCTCATGACCCAATATCCTTTCAATTCAGCTCATTTAACTTAAACTGACAACAGATGACCACTTGCCCTTTTATTATAAACTATTACACAGGATGGCTTTTCATAAATGACTTTTATAAAATCCTCATGCATATAACGATGTCAAATTCCTTTTTTTCTGTTAAGATTTCAGAAGTGTATCAAATTTCCAAGATCATACTTACTCTTCATCATCATCATCTTCATCATCATCATCATCATCTTCATCAGCAGCAAGTTTTACTTTTTTCTTTTAAAAGAAAAGGCACATACTCATGAACAAGAGCTGTTCTATCTATCACCAAACTAAAATCTGTAATACAAAACCCATAATAAAATTGCCATCTCTACCTGTGGAACCTTGCTACCACCTCCAGGGGCAGACCGCTTTCCAGATATACTTAAGAGTTTCACATCCTCCTCCTCTTCATCTTCTGACTCTGCATCTTCCTCCACAGCTAAAATACAATTTATTAGACATTATAAAACTCAAGCAGCAAAGAAATCAGAAAAAAAAAGAACACTGATAGCATACAGTAAATATTCTAAAAACTGAGATTTCTATTTTTTAAAAAAAAGAGCAAATGGGAAAAGGAACTTTTTAACAAAGGTATTCTGAGGCCTAACGTTCACTGCCAGGTTTTAAATGCAAGAAGCCTGAGCAGGGTGGCTCCTGCCTGTAATCTCACTTTGGGGAGGCCAAGGTGGACCACTTGAAGCCAAGAGACCAATCTGGGCAACACAGTGAGACTCCATCCGCACATATACAAAAGAAGTTAGCCAGGCGTGGTGGAGTGTGCCTGTAGTTCTAGCTAGTCCAGAGGCTGATGTGAACCCAGTAGTTCAAGGCTGTAACAAGCTACGATCACTGCACTCCAGCCTTAGAATGAGACTGTCTTTATTAAAAAAAATTTTAGGCCAGGCACAGTGGCTGACGCATGTAGTACTAGCACTTTGAGACGCCAGGGCGTGCAGAACACGTTAAGGCCAGGAGTTTAAGATCACGCTGGCCAACTTCACGAAACCCCTTCTCTACTAAAACTATAAAACACAACTAGGCTTGGTGGCACACGCCTGTGGTCCCAGCTACTGGGGAGGCTGAGACAGGAGGATCCCTTGAATCCCGGAGGGAGAGGTTCCAGTGAGCCAAGATCGTGCCACTGTACTCTACCCTGGGTGACAGATCAAGATTTTGTCCCCCGGTCCCAAAAATTTATTTGTCCTCTCCAATTATAAATTTCTAGACTCACACTGGAATCTATTTTAAAGATAGTAGTACTATACCCATGGTTTAAGTCCAAACTGGGAACCAAGCAACTGCATTAAAGAGAATAAACTAAGTAGTATAATACATAAAAATAACATACCTACTAAGTGCTGTCCACTAATATGCACTGGCCCTGAACCACACTTCAACCTTAAGACCACTGGTGGTGTTATTTCAAAGCCCCCAAGGGAAACCTAGAAGGAAGAAATTTTTAATCACTAAACATAAGAAAATGTACAATAAACATTACAAGCAAACACATAAGCCAAATCAACAAACCAGTGAACCTTTTTTCCACCTCTGATAAACTAGCAGCAGAAACCCCCATGTTCAAGAGCTGAACACTGAACTCCAGTGACAGAAGATAAAGAACCACTTTCTATCTCTTTGGCACAACGAAATGACACCAAACCTACCTTAAAACAGAATTAAACCTTGACACAACATCCAAAGTATACAAGTGCCCTTACCGTTGGCTGTACAGACATTTTCAAAGTTGCCAGTGTTACTTTAATTGGACTGCCTTCATAATTCATTGCCTCTGCTTCAACAATGTGCAATTCATCCTTTGCACCAGCCCCTAAACTGACCTGTGAACGAAAAAAAAATACCACTTCAACTTTGAGTTCCACCTATTTTACACCCCCCCACCACTAAATGTTATATGCAGCCATGCGTCACTTAACCACAGGGCTAGGTTCTGAGAAATGTGTTGTTAGACAATTTCATCTTGGTACAATCATAAGAATGTGCTTTTACTAACAAACCTAGATGGTATAGCCTACTACACACACCTAGGCTACAAACCTGTACAGTATGTTACTGTACTGAATACTGTAAGCAACTGAAATACAATAGTAAGTATTTGTGCATCTAAGCATAGGAAAGGGCGGTGGTGGCTCATGCCTGTAATTCCACAGCACTTAAGGAGGCTAAGGTAGATCATGAGGTCAGGAGTTTGAGACCAGCCTGGACAACATGGTAAAACCCCATCTCTACTAAAAACGCAAAAATTAGCCAGGCATGGTGGCACATGCCTGTAATCCCAGCTACTTGGGAGGCTGAGGCAGGAAAATCACTTGAACTCGGAAATCAAGAGGTTGTACTGAACTAAGATTACGCCACTGCACTCCAGCCTGGGTGACAGAGGAAGACTGTCTCCAAAGGAAAACAAAAACAGAAACAAAAACAGGAAAGGTACATTAAAAATAGGGTATAATAATCTTATGTGACCACCGTTGTATGATCCATCTGTTGACCCAACAGTTGCAATGAGGCACGTGACTATGATTTTTAAAAAAAACAAGTATAAACCTATCACTGTTACCTCAGAAAACAAATCTGTGCAATGTTATCCTCAGGTTTTGTGATCTTGGCAAATCAATTTCTCATATTCAGAAAATTTAAGAAATGCATAAATATGCATACACACAATATAGATCACCTAACTTATTTATTGAGCAACTTCTAAGTTGAGAGAAAAGCTAGTCTCTGGTAGACATGTAAGATTATCGATGCCTTTTACAAGGGCTTTATAATCCAACTGAAGAAAATAAGTCAAGTTTAACAATGTGACTGGATTTTACATGGTTACCAAATGCGTATAGATGCCAAGTTCTTCATCAAAGATGTATAGACAGTGAGGAACACACAATACCCAAGTGTAAGAAATAGTATTTTATAAGCAGTCAGCAAAGGAAAAGTCTCAAGCCACATGAATAGAAACTAAAAGGCTGAAATCAAGTAGGGTTAAGTAGTTTATTTTGAAAGTTTAAGTACCGTTCTTAAAGATAACTGGTGCTCATTTTCATCATTATCCACCTTAAAGTGATAATCTTTGTCGGCCTTTAGTTCACAACCTGTAAATGAAGAAAAAAGCAACTCTAACAAGGAGAAAAATAACACTGAAACTTAAGTGTGGGTAACCAAAAAGGTCAGGTCTAACTTTTGAACTAGTTTTTCACAATTTTAGCTACCAGAGGACAAAGCAGAATGATCAATTCCTAGATTTCTTGAACAGAAACCTCTACAAACAAGTAACACCCATAGAAGTCTACAATTCTATTTTCTCATCATACCATATTTCATCTCTAACTACGCTGATAGGCACTGTTATTCTGCATACAGAAACGAGCTCAACGGTTTAGTAAATCTGAACCTAAAACAATTACCCGAAACCAAATGTAATGTCCAATGTTAAGTTTCCCACTATTTAAAACAGCTGATTTACCCACCTAAATTCCCAAATGGAAAGTTCGAAATGAGAATGGTTACAAACATTACAAAAGAAAAACGACAAAGGTAAAAGAACCAAAGCTTGCTACAGGGGTCAACACTCTACTCTTTAAAGCAACAGAAAGTGACATACGCCTGAAACTATATTCAGTAACTATGTTTAAGACAAGGAGGGTTGTTTCCAACAGTTATCAAAAAGTACTGATATAAATTTATCAGAATTCTCAGTTCTCCAAAACAGCTAGGAATTAAAGTCTTAATGTTTTAAATACATGTGTCTACTGCCACTCCATCCACGCATGGGCAAAATTCTTTAAAATACTGTCAGAATAAAAATTTTAAATAATTCCATTTAACTACCATCTAACTGTTACCAATATATATACATGCTTAAATGTGAAGAGGTTTAATTAACAAATCTCAGCACGGATAATGAACAAGATAAAATTCACGGTAGGATTCGCACTTACTTCAAAGTCTGAATAGTACAAAGATTAGGCTTCTGCAATTAAACCTACTGACATTAAAAACCCAAGTGGGACTCTCCTTTTTGGGGCAGGGCTACCGCAAGTCGAAGGGGGTGGTGGTCCCAAAATTCTGCGAATAGTTTTAGGTCCTGATCTGACACAAATCGAACACTCTACGTGTTTCTTGTATTTAAATAAGCGGTTTGGTCAATGCCGCACAAATGGCGGCATGCGAGGATGTCCCCCTAAAACGAAGCCTCATTAATATTCACGAAGCAGCAGCTACGAGTCAAGGGTCTTGGTTTAGTTTTAGCCTCTTTGCCTATAAGTACAACCTTCGTTAAGTGAGTTAATCTCTGGGCACCAGTGCCGTCATCTGCAAAGTGGGGCTAGCTCCACCTACTGCAGTAAGACAGAAAAGGGGCTCAAAAAAAAAGAGCTGCCATCACAGTAGAAGCTGTAAGCACTGAACAAAGGCCTCCAGAATCCTAGTGTTACCAGCCTCTTAACATTTCCCACTTCAACTGAGCCACAGCATCCCTTGATCTGGAGTAGCAACATGCTGGTGAGCCCCGGATGTAGTGCCCACACCCCCCTCCCTCCCCCAACCACGTGGCAACCACGTGCTCCCAGCGGTTGCGGCCTCCTCACGCCGCGCCGCGCCTCCCCTCCCCCAGTAACTGGCCGAAGCACGCGAGTGAAGTCTGGGTCCGGCAGCTCCAGACTCTGAAGTCAGAACAACGCCAGGGTGTGCATCTACCCTCTCCAACAAGCAGGCCCATGCTTCCCGGTAAACCCAGCCTCCGGGACCACCAACCCGGGGCCTGGGATCAGAAGCCTACGAACGAACTCCGTTAGAAAATAAACCACGCCTGGGGCTCCGCGGCGTATCCCTGGCAACGGCCGAACTTCCAGGCGGCCAGTTCCGCTACACCTCAGGCCCTGGGCCTCCGACTGCTCACGTTCCAGGCGCTTCAGGCCGCTCGTCTCCTCCCCCTTCACGCCTCCGGCTCCCCCCGCGGCTCCAATCCCACCAGGTCCAGGGCTCAGGCAGCTCTTCCCACCCGCTCAGGCCTCCAGCCGGTCTGGCGGTCTCCACCAGACCCTGCTGCAGCCGGATTCCCTCCCCTCACCCCCACCTTCACCGCCACCAGGCCCCGCTCGGCCTCGCTCCAGCTCCCCCCTGCAGTTACCGAAAAGATAGTTCTGGGGCCTCAGGGGGCTCATGTCCATGTCCATCGAATCTTCCATCAGGTGGCGGCACGCACTTAGGTGGGAGAGAAGGCGGACGGAGATAAACGAACGCTGCTCCAGAGAACAGCCGCGCAGGACGGAATCTCACCAGGGAAAGGACGCAAGCTCCCCGCGCTTATATATAGCCCCTGAAGATCTCGCGAGCGCTTCTCAAGTCCCGCCTCCGCGCGCGTGCTCCGGAGCCTTCCCACCACCGTACCGTAGCCCTCCTGCGCAAGCGCTCTTCAACCACACTCCTTTCTACCTCGCCCCCCACCTCCTTCCAGGTACTCCGCGGGCTCCCACCGAGCACGCGCACTCGTACACTGGCCCCACCCCTCCGCCGCTGTCGCCTGTGCGCACGCGTGCTTTCCAGTCGTAACGCGCGCTCCCCACCTCCAACACTTCCACGTCCTCTCCCGCTCAAGCGCTTCGGCCTCCCGCCAAGAGTCTGCGTAGCCCACCCTGCAAAATGGCGTCGGCAGCTCTTAGCTGTGGTAGATATGGCGGGTTGTTAGCTGGCTGGGAATGAGCCGGAGAGCACCTCGATTCACTTTCCCCATACCCTAGTGCCTTGCAAGCCTCCAAACAGGCGTAATCATTTCAGGATTTTTTTTACTTGCCTGAAGGCTTGGGATCGCAGTTAATCGTTACCCCAAAGTTCAGGTGCCGGAGAGAGTGAATTGCGGCTTATTCTTTGTTAGGAAGGAAAGATGTAGCTACCGGCCAGGCTTACGGAACTGTGTTTTTACAGCTCTGCCCTTCCTGAGAAAATATCTCCAAAGTCCTCATCTTTATGTAACTTGGGGGCCTAAAGGGGACTGAATCAGTCTCCAAATGAGCAAGGACATCGCCCTAAGAGAGCTCGGAGGGTGGGCAGACTCTTGACTTCTTGCCGCTCCTAATCTTTAGGATTCCTCCTGAAAGAAAGCGGGTGACTTATAAGAACTACAGAAGCCTTAATCGAATATTTGGTAGCGAGTATGGGAATTAACATTTTAAGCTACACCTTGACAAACTCCGAGGTACCCCAGCAGCCCCGGGCATTGGGGCGTTCTGAAGACCCGTAATCTTTTTTTTTAGCCTCAACGTATCAAACAAATTTAAGAAGTGAGGAATACAAATGATAGCCTCAGAAAAGAAGACCCTCCCCCCACCCCAAGGCATTATTTCTTACAAGAAAATTATAGAGACGATTTCAGCATCCATCAAAAGAGGAATGAACAGTTAAATTATAACATATCCATAATATGCGTTAGTTGTGGACACATACTAACGCATAATATGGATTTGTTATAATTTAACTCTTCCTTTCTGAGAGCGCCTGTGTCACATAAAGCTTTGAGTCACTAAATTTGTTATGTTTTTTTTTTTTCTTTTTTTTTTTTTTGTGGAGACAGAGTCTCGCAGTGTTGAGTGTTGTCCAGGCTGGAGTGCAGTGGCGTGATCTCGGTTCAATGCAACCTCCGCCTCCCGGGCTCAAGCAATTCTGCCTCAGCCTCCCGAGTAGCCAGGACTACAGGTGCATGCCACCACGCCCGTCTAATTTTTGTATTTTAGTAGAGATGGGGTTTCACTGTGTTCGCCAGGCCGGGCTCAAACTCCTGACGTCGGGTGATTGGCCTGTCTCGGCTTCCCAAAGTGCTGAAATTACAGGCATGAACCACCGTGCCTGGTTTTTTTTTTTTTTAAGTAGACACTAGGCTTCACAATGTTGGCCAGGCTGGTCTTGAACCCCTGACCTCTCAGGTGATCCACCCACCTCTGCCTCCCAAAGTATTAGGATTACAGGTGGGAGCCACCACGGCCAGCCAAGAATTATTTTAAATTCTAATTTGTACTATAATGTCATTATGGTTACACTTAAAAATTGTTACCTGTTAAAGATCCATACTGAAGTATTTGTAGGTGAAATTATGTATCTGGGATATTTTGTTTTTTTATTTATTTATTTATTTATTTATTTATTTATTTATGTATTTTGAGACAGGGCCTCACTCTGTCACCCAAGCTGGAGTGCAGTGGCTCGATCTTGGCTCACTGCAACTTCCACTTTCCAGGTTCAAGCAATTCTCATACCTCAGACTCCTGAGTAGCTAAGGACTACAGGCACACGCCACCACTCCAGGCTAATTTTTGGATTTTTAGTAGAGACAGGGTTTTGCCATGTTAGCCAGGCTTTATTTTATTTTATTTTTGTTTATTTGTTTGTTTGGGACGGGATCTCACTCTGTCATCCAGGCTGGAGTACAATGGCACAATCTTGGCTTACTGCAACCTCAGCCTCCTGGGTTCAAGCAGTTCTCCTGCCTCAGCCTCCCAAGTAGCAGGGATTACAGGCACCTGCCACCACACCCAGCTAATTTTTGTATTTTTAGTAGAGACAGGGTTTCACCATGTTGGTCAGGCTAGTCTCAAACTCCTGCCCTCAGGTGATCCGCCCGCCTCAGCCTCCCAAAGTGCTGGAATTACAGGTGTGAGTCACCACACCTGGCCACTATTTTATTTTATTTTTTTAATTTTTTTTAAATTTTTTTTTTTTGAGACCGAGTCTCGCTCTGTCATCCAGGCTGGAGTGCAGTGGCATGATTTTGGCTCACTGTGACCTTTGCCTCCTGAGTTCAAGTGATTCTCCTGCCTCAGCCTCCCAACTAGCTGGGATTACTGGCACCCCCTACCACACCTAACTAATTTTTGTATTTTTAGTAGAGTCAGGGTTTCACCATGTTGGCCAGGATGGACTCGAACTTCTGACCTGAAGTGATCCACCCGCCTCAGCCTCTCAAAGTGCCGTGCTTACATGCATGAGCCATGGCACCTGGCCTTATCTGAGACTTTAAAAAAAAAAAAATCCAGCAAAAGGGGAGGAGAAAGGAGAGTGGAAAGGTATGTATGAAATAAAATTGACTACGTGATAATAATTGTTAAAGCTGGGTGATGGGCATATGGTTGTTCATCATACGATTCTTTCTATTTTTGTTCTTATTTGAACGTTTCCATCATAAAATGTGTTTAAAAATGAAGATTAAAACTTGTATTTAAGAAATAGTATATCAGTTTATCCTATGGAATACTGTGCAACTTCTAAAAAGAATACAGTGGTCCCCTATACATTATATCCTGGAAAGATAGCTACACCACATGAAGTGAAAAAGCCAAGTTGGAGAACTATGTGTGTATATATATATATATATCTCTATAAAATACAACCCTACTTACATAAATGGTGAATGCCAGGCGCAGTGGCTCACGCCTGTAATCCCAGCACTTTGGGAGGCTGAGGCAGGAGGGGCTGGAGTTGGAGACCAGCCTGGACAACATAGTGAGACCCTGTTTCTACAAAAAATAGAAAAACTTAGCTGAGTGTGGTAGCACATGCCTGTAGTTACAGCTACTGAAGAGGCTGAGGTAGGTGGGAGGATCTCTTAAGCCTGGAAAGTCAAGGTTGCTGTGAGTCATGTTCACACCACTACTCTCTAGCCTGGGTGACAGAGTGAGACTCCATCTGTCTCTCTCTCTCTCTCTCTCTCTACATATATATATATATTTGTAATATTATGAATTATCCAGTTCAGATACCCCTAACTGTCTCTTACAGTTGATTTGCTTGAATAACGATCCAAACAAGGTCTACACATTACCCTGAGTCATGTTGTCATTTAACATGTTCCTGGCCGGGTGTGGTGACTCACGCCTATAATCCAAGCACTTTGGGAGGCCGAGGCGAGTGGATCACCTGAGGTCAGGAGTTCAAGACCAACATGGAGAAACACTGTCTCTACTAAAAATGCATAATTAGCCAGGTGTGGTGGCATGCCTGTAATCCCAGCTACTCAGAAGGCTGAGGCAGGAGAATTGCTTGAACCTGGGAGGCAGAGGTTGCGGTGAGCCAAGATGGCGCCATTGCACTCTAGCCTGGGCAACAAGAGTGAAACTCCGTCTCAAAAAAAAAAAAGTTTCTTTGTCTTCTGTATTTTCTGTAAATTAGTAGATCAAGAGATGCACTGTTGGCCAGGCACAGTGGCTCACGCCTAGGAGGGCAGATCACCTGAGGTCAGGAGTTAGAGACGAGCCTGGCCAACATGGTGAAACCCCGTCTCTACTAAAAATATAGCTTTGTGTGGTGGCTCATTCCTGTAATCCCAGCACTTTGGGAGGCCAAGGTGGGTGGATCACCTGAGGTCAGGAGTTCGAGACCAGCCTGGCCAACAAGGCAAAACCCTGTCTCTACTAAAAATACAAAAATTAGGCGAGCGTGGTGGTGGGAGCCTGTAATCCCAGCTACTTAGGAGGCTGAGCTAGGAAAATCGCTTGAACCTGGAAGGCAGAGGTTGCAGTGAGCAGAGATCATACCACTGCACTCCAGCCTGAGCAACAGAATGAGACTATCTCAAAAACAAAACAAAACAAAACAAAACAAAAAGCCGGTCCTGGTGTCACACGCCTGTAATCCTGGCTACTAGGGAGGCTGAGGTGGGAGGGTCGCTTGAACCTGGGAGGCAGAGGTTGTAGTAAGTTGAGATCCTATCTTGAACGATAAATAAAATTAATTAAAATTTAACTAAAATTAAAAAGTTAGTTCCTCAATCTCACTAGCCAAGTACTCAATAATCACATGTGGCTAATGACTGCAGTACAGGATAATACACAAAGGCCATTTCCATCGTCACAGAAAGTTCTGTTTGGACAGTGCTGATCTAGAGGCTTGACTAGATTCAAGTTCACTCTCATGGCAAGAAACTTCATAGGTGGCAAGAATATTTCCCTTTGTATCAGAGACACATAATATCTCGTTGTTTCTCTTGTGAATTTATGGAATTGTCAGCCTGATTCTTCCTTTATAATGTTCACCATTCACTTTTCACCAAAGAGTTTTAGCAGATTATTGCTTCAGTTCATCCTAATTCTATCACTTACTCAGCATTTATTAACTGAAATTCTTCTGTAAAGGAGAATGTTTCTTGATCAATTATTTGATTACCCTAAAAACTCATTTTCAGCCGGGTGCAGTGGCTCACACCTGTAATCCCAGCATTTTGGGAGGCCGAGCAGATGGATCACCTGCGATCAGGAGTTTGAGAGCAGCCTGACCAACATGATGAAACCCTGTTTCTACTAAATACAAAAAATAAAAATAAAAAAAAAAATAGCTGGGTGTGGTGGCATATGCCTGTAATTCCAGCTACTTGGGAGGCTGAGGCAGGAAAATTGCTTGAACCTGGGAGGGGGAGGTTGCAGTGAGCCGAGATTGCATCATTGCACTCCAGCCTGGACCACAAGAGCGAAAACTCCATCTCAAAAAAAATAACAGTTTTCTTTC